CCCCATTGGGGGGAGATGGGCGGGGATAAGTTTGATAAATAAATAAATAGATAAATAAATAGATAAATAAATAAATAAATAAATATAACGACGCCTTCAATGAGGCGACAGGCTTTTTGTTGTCCTTGGAAGAGGAAAAATCGCATATAAGTCAGGGTCGTGCAGTGGTTAAAAAGTGGGATCAGGAGGGGGGAAAGTGGGCTCCGGGTTCAAATAGCACCCAGCCGTGAAAATGCACGGGGCGCCCTCTTTCTCCGGCCGCTCTACCTCCCAAGGTAGTTGGGAAGATGAAATTGGGAGTGACTTTCACGGAGACCGTCTTGAGAAATGGAAAAGTAATGCAAAGCCAGGAATGCAAATGGCAGACAACGGACCTGACCTTCTGACGTGCTCACGCACGTTAGATTAAGTTTATGTGGTCATTCATGTGACTTTTCAGCCTACGAAATAGGACGCCATCCGAAGACGGATTCGCTTACAGGGCTAATTGATGCCTTGTACTGAATCCAAGGATATACCAAAGAAGGGAGGGGAGAGGAGCGTTAAAAACAGCATTAATTAGCTGCCATGGATAAAATCGAACCGCATTTAAAGAGACTTTTTTTCAACCCTTCCTACAGATGCCAGAGATGGATAAAGGGGGCTTTAATCGTTTATTTGTAAGTAAAGTACTGGCGCTGCCGTCGCACTCTCTCGCTTCTCCACGGAAAAGGCGGGGAGGGACATTTTTGCACAGAAAGGCAGAATCTTCTTTCACGAACCCGTCGGCTTGTTTGAGAAGAAACCAACAGCAACACGTGGGGTGTGTTCCAGCGCCTCTTTGGGCAGAAAGTCCAAAATGGGAGGGGAAAAAAACGATTCGCACTTGCAGACCGAAGAGCGCCTTCCCCACCGCTTTTGAAGAGGCGACGCGCGAAAGCGTTCGGGCATTTCCGTCCAGCGTCCCCTTCGGGAAACCGCGGCTCGCTTCGCTCCCCCTTCGGGTATTTCCGTGGCAGGGCGCTCGCCGTTGCCCAGGGCAACACGAAGCCGCCCCTGGAGTCTGGGGAGCCGCCCCCCAGGCCCCGGTCCTGTTCGGGCCGCGCAGGGGGCAGGTAAGGCGGCGAAGTCGGGCTTGGGGGGACTCGCCTCGCTGCTTTCGGGGCATCTTTCGAGCGGGAGCGAAAAGGAGAACCTTTGGCCCAGCTAGCACTCCGGGGGAGATTCCGGGGGCTCTCTATGCTTGCCTGGCCCTCTCCTGAAGGAAAGCGTGGGTTTTCTGGAGGCGTGGATGGGAGGCCACCAGGTGATCCCTGGGCTGGCAAGTCGGGAAAATTTCCCAGACGAAGGCAAAGGCGACCCCGACGGCCGTGTTATTGCCATGCAACCTGCGTGGACGTGTCTGTGGAGTCGCTAGGAGTCGAGTTGGGCTGAACTGTCATACAGGAGGTCCCCAGCGAGGGGTCAGCAGGCGGAAGCACCTAGCTAATCTTAGCTAATCCCCCCCCCACCTAATCCACATCATCCCTGCTGGCCCTTCATAAGGCTTTAAAGACACGGTTGTGTCACTGGGCTGAGGGATCCAGACGTGTGGCAGAGCCTGTGCAATGTTTGCGTTGATTTGATTCCTGGTGGCTTGGTTTGTTTTTTTTTAACCTCCGCTGCCGGTTATGTTTATTATTGTGACGTGTGGTTTATGTTATTTTTAAATGCTGTTAGCTGGCCACCATCATTAATTTGAAATAATTAAATGCTAAGTGGGATCAGATTGACTTAGTATTTGGACAGGACACTACAAGAAAATTTCAGGGCTATAGGCTAGACTGGGGAATTGACACAAAAGAGACTTTAGGTTTTTTTTTTAAAAGATATAATAGGCAGTGTCTGCTTCTCCTCCTCCTCCCCGCATTCCAAATGCAAATATCTGCAATATTTAATTTATTTGATTTGATACGGCCACCCACTCCAAAAGATTTTGGGCAGCTATGAATGGGAACAGCAGTCTTACAATGGACCATGATTTCTATGATCTGCCTGCTTGGAGTCTTCATTCCTCCCACATTCCAGTTGGAGCAAGAATGCTCTTAACCTGTGTGTAGATGGTAGAAAGCAAGAAATTGCCCTCCTGTGCATTTGCCCTTCTGCTTCTGGAGGGAGAGCAGGGAAAGAAAAGGTATAACATTAAATTAAGAGTTAAATAATGATTGGGGTGGAATTAATTCCTTCCACTTGCAAAGAACATTTATTTTTGATGTATTCAGTTTATGTTTGAACATGTAAATCGCCTTTCAGTCTCATATTTGGGTCTCAGTCTTCAGCTGGTTATACTATAAATACTTTTTTTGTCTCATAGGTATCTGACCATGGCTGTGTACATTGATCATCGAATAGAAGCTCTTGAGTCCCGTGGACCCCACTCCCACATAGCTTGGCACCATCTCCAGCCACTTTTGGCTGTTGCATCCATTAATGCAAACTCTGGTGGTAGTGTGGACATTTTTCTAGAACAGGCAAGTGTTCTAAAACGAATTTTTGTCTTGGGCTAGTCAAGTCCTAGGCCTTGTTTCACATCTGCTTAATTAATATAAATGTGTTGAAGGCCCTTGAGATCAATTATTGTTCTATTATTGCTACTGAAGTTTGCATGTGAAACATTAAAAAAAAAAGCACAAACTCCGTGTTCACAGACCTACAACCCCCCCGCCCCCAAAAAAGGCATAGGAACAGGAAAGTGAACAAATCCAGGCACCAAATCTTCATAAGCTAGATAAAAGACTAGGATTTCAAGTGACCAAGCATGGCCACTTGAGTGAAAAAGGACAAAAATGATTGCGGGTCTTAGCAATTACTCAATAAAGTTTGCTTTGAGATACCAGCCAGATGTATTAAGATTACATTAGATGTAATGCTAGTCATCTGTCTTTTCTTCATATTCTGTGGCATAGCCAAAGAAAGAAAGAGTATCTGGCTTTATTATTTTTATCTATCTATCTATCTATCTATCTATCTATCTATCTATCTATCTATCACATTTGTCACTGCCCATCTCACTGGAAGCGACTCTGGGCGTCATGGCTGCCTAACTCTAAGTTTGTAGGCATTTATGCAGCATCTTTCCACTGCCTCTTTTAAAAATCTAGCATAGGACAGAACTACTCTTGATCCCATGCTTCATTTTAAAAATGTCATCCCCCTTGTCCATTTTCCATTGAACTTTAAGCACAAGGCAATGGGAATGAAGTCTCTTCCTTTTTCATTGAGGGCAGAGGGGAAAATTTGCAAAAGCTGTCACCTAGCTTTACTGATGCCGCCTGCAAAAAAGAAAAAAAAAGGGAAAGGGAAAACATTCTCTTTCCACCAATAACATAGTTCTTCTTGATTCATGTTAGGTTTTTGTAAAAGACATTAATGAGGGACAGCTGACATATTCTGCTGTAGCTCCAGGTTAGAGTAAAATTGCCTTTCCTTTCTGTTCTTAGGGAAGGAAGAAACACATTTATTTCTCTGCAAGTTGGTCTTATGGAGATAGGGCTGGGAACAGCTTCCTTCAAACCTTGAGTGAGATGGGCAGTGACTAAATTTGAAGTATAAATAAATAAAACCTGGAGGAGGAACACTGGTTTGTTCTGTTATACATTTGTTTGTTCTCCTGGCAGTGCCTGTATTCCTAAAAGTATTCTCCAGCTTCACAGTTCACCAGAACAGAAAAAAAGAAATGTCCCCTGCATTGTACATAAACTTAGATGTATTTGGGTGTGTGTGTGTGTGGAGATTTATTGAAGGTTTAGCCAAAAAAATATATATATATAAAATGATGCTGTTCTCTCCTTGCTTTTTTCCCCCCAGGGAGAATATGTGTCTGATGCACACTTGGAAAGAAACTTTCGGGCCACGTGTCTCAGTTGGCATCCTTCCAAACTGATCGTGGCAGTGGGTTGTGAGATGGGAGATGTGGTGGTGGTAAATAAACAAGACAAGGAACATCATGCTGTGCCCTCCAACCATAATGCTGATATTTCAGTCCTAAATTGGAGTACTAATGGTACACGTCTTGTTTCTGGAGATAAAGTAAGTAGCAAAATCAAAATAGTTTGTGAATAGCACTTCAATGCATATTCTATACATCAGGGTTCCTCAACCTTGGCAACTTTAAGACGGGTGGACTTCAACTCCCGGAATTCTGAAGGCTGGCTGGGGAATTCTGGGAGTTGAAGTCCACCTCTCTTAAAGTTGCCAAGGTTGAGGAACCCTGCTATACATTGTCTGTTTAATACAGACCGTGGGAATTTCCCTTGTAGATGTGAATTTTTCATTTACTTGTAAAGGGGAGAAAAAGGCAAGTGTATTTTTCCAAAGCTTTTTATTCTGTTTTGCCAACATTCAAAAGACAAAACAAAATGGTTGCCAGCTGAAAGTTAAACCATGTGACTTGGGTGATCCATTACTGGGATCATCTATGTTTTAAAAATTCAGAAACATCCATTGTCTGGTGCTGTTCTGCTTTTTAAACTCTTTTTTCCTGCACTTCACAAACTACTGTTTGCTCTTCATTTCTGTATGTATTTGAAATTTTCAGATAGGTGGGGAGTGTGGTAATTTTAACAGTGAACATTGCTCAGGCAAAACTAAATTGTGGTGTTGCTTTTACCCTACAACTCTAATGTTTTCTGAAAATGAAGCTTTGCTCTGCTTTCTTCTCTGCAGTTGCACTCTTGTTCAGTTACTTGACAATAAGCTCAACTGGGATTTGATTCCAGGTGACCCTGGGCATCATGGCACTACATTAAGAATTGGCTTATACATATGGTAGGATCTGGTCTTTCAGGAGATGTAGCTTAAGCTCCAGGCTTTCTTAGATATTGGAGGAAAAATGCCACTTCCAAGTCATATTGTATTTATCAGCCAGATACCTTTCTGCTGGTGAGCTGGAAAGAACTTGAATGATTTCACCATCTATATTCCAAAGGACTGAATTGACCCTAGGTAAGGATAGGAAATAGGAAAACGCTCTTCAGATGAACAGAGCAATTTTGCTTGACTGCTTCTAAAAGATGAAGATGCTTAGATGAAACGTAATTATGAAGCGTGAGATTTTTATTGTAGCTGAGCAGTTTGATGTTTTAGTAGCTTATTCATGATTTACAGCATAGTAGCTACTGTTTGCAGTCTGACCATGAACCTGCCAGACAGGAAGATCATGATGTGCATGTTGATGCCAAGGGCAGCAGTGCATTGAGCCAGGATTTGACACCACTGCAAATGTAACCCTTTCCGTGCTCCTTCTAGAACACTGAACACTTATATTTCCTTCAGGGCAAATTATGGCATACATGAGATTCCCTTGGCATATTGGACAAGAGAAAATCATAAGCTGTTTTCTTTTAAAAAGACCATGAGAATATTTGGTTAGCATGCTTAGGTCTGGCCAATTATTGAGAACTTGCTTCTTCATATAAAGTTACCAATAAAGATATAAGCTCATCTCAAGACAAACGAGGACTGCACATTGCAGAACAAATGGTCACTAAGAAAATATTAATAGACTAATCTCTCTTTTGTAGCTTGGTGTTCTTGTATTGTGGCGGATGGATCAGCGGGGTAGAGTTCAAGGTCCCCCTTTGTTAAAACATGAGTATGGGAAACATCTTAATTTCGGCATTTTCCGCCCACCTCCTCCTGGGGAGTAAGTATGATACTTTGACCAGAATGTCTCTCCTTTGATACTAAGTTCCACTGGAGTAAAAGCTTGAAACTTCTTTGGTGTTTAGGCAGTAATATCTGTGATGAATCAAATGCCACTTTCTTCCCTCTGTTTCATGTTTTCTTTTAATCGTTCCTTAGCATTATCTATTTTGATAGCGTCATCCTCAGGTTGAAAACTTTCATTTTTTTAACCTTTTATTTTTTCATCCTTTTCCTCCCTGCCTTCCTAAACCTGTCTAAAAATGCATGGTGTTACTTTCAGCACAGTGTGAGTTTTAAATCAGATGGATGCCTGCTGTTCCTTTCGTGCTACGCCTTAAGTGCCCATCCCAAAAAAACTTTAATACTGGACAACATGTGTGCAATCATTTGGAAGCTGCTCTGGGCTGGGGTGAGAAATCTTTTGCGGTTAAGAAGAAGAGGTGGTTCTTTCTTATAATAGGAAGCTTTCATCTTGAGATCCAAAGGTGCCAAAACTCAAATGTCTTGTTCTTGCCTGCAGAGATTTGGTCCAGCTCGCCAAAGCTGCGGTGAGTGGTGATGAAAAAGCCCTGGATATGTTTAACTGGAGAAAATCTGGAATGGGGATGCCTCTCAAAATGGGACCCCAGGAAGGCCTGTCCTTCTTCGTTAGCGTGATAGATGGTAAGAACAAAGCAGCTTTGGTAGTTCTGTTTGAAAGAAGAAGATGACAGTATGGTTCTGCTTTTGAGGCTCAGAAGCACACAACTTTAAAAAATGAGAATGTATTGGGTGAGATGAGTCTTAACTCCCTGTGAAATTCTTATGGTGGCTAATTTGGAAGCTCACAGCTCCACCTGTTGGTAAACAATAGATGCATGGATTTAAATTTGGCAAGTCCTGGTAGCTTTTGAGATCTAAACCAGGCATTAGGAGAGCTCTTTCCTCTTGAGTCTTGGGACAAGTGGGGAGGGAGGGAGGGAGGGAGAGAGAGAGAGAGAGAGAGAGAGAGAGAGCTCTTTGAATCCGCTACATATAACTCTGTCATTTGTTCAGACTATTAATACTGAGAGTGAATAATGCCACTTTCTGTAGTGTCTTGCGGGCCTCTGTGGATTCCTTTTTGCCTATGCATTCTTGGCTCCCTTTTATTTTTCAGTCGCTCAGTCAGTTTTTGTCCTTTCATATTAACACAGTTCTTACTGTGCACGTTTGCGGGAAAGGCTCTGGCTACAAGGCAATTAAGAATCCAAAACAGACTTGTCTGTAGGTATTACAGAAGATCTTGAAAGAGTGGGTGGTCTTGCATAAGTGAACTCAGCACTTTGTAGTCCTGGCTGCCTGAGTGAAATGAAAATGGCTAAGGACCTTTCTCAAGATGGGTCATGAAAATTGTCTCCTAGCCACTTGGAATTTTGAAACTAAACATGACAAATCCTGACATCTTTATCAATACTAGCTTTCCTGTCATTGGCAGGAGCTCTAGGTTTACGGGACTCTTGAGTTAAAGCTCAACAAACAGGTTTTGTTGGTCTCTGCATCGTTTTTTTAGGCAGATTGGAATGTGCCTGTGTGTCCTACCAGCAACTGTTTGGTCTCCAAATTATCTGACTCAAATGAAATTCTAATCTGATTTCAGCCTCAGCTGAGCATGGAAAAGAAAAAGATTAACTTTCTTGAACTATGATTTATTCGTCTAGTTGTTTAACAGTGCAGCTTATAGGATAGAGTTATGGAAATTTCTCTTTATTTAAAAACGTTGCTATATTAACAGAATGAAAAAAGCATTGATGTATAGATGCTAGTATTTTCTCTTTACTCTGTGGTATCCTAATGAATAATCTGTTTTTCCATTGTAGTTTTCTCAACCACCGAACTAGTGGATGGCAGCAGTTTAATACTTTTTTTTTTTTTTTTTTTACTGTGATAGTTTGACTGTTTTTAGTATATTTTTACAAGAACCCTTGTGGAATATGCAGTGTTTGTCTGTGTCAGCCCTTCAAGGTAGGCCAGGTCAAGAAACAAATTCCACAGGGATTCTAGGAATACTACTTCATTGTTGTAGGGTATTGTAACCAAAACCTGGAAGCCTGTAAAGTACTTTACAGTGTGAGGGCATCCATATTGGTTTTGTGATCCATTACAACTTCCTGTTAATATGTTAGTGCTTCCAAAACGTTTCTTTCCAACATCCTGAAAAATGCACGTGTTGATTTCCCTCAATTTGAGATTATTCTTTTACTGTCAAATTCTGAATGCGGGATGGTGTGAGATTAATTAGATGGCCGAGTGAATTACACAATTGTTTCCATGGCAGGAACTGTGCATTATGTGAGTGAAAGAGGAAAGACAAGCCAAGCATTGACTACAGAGAGTTCTGTCCAAAAAATGTTGTTCATGGAAAAAGATGTCTTAGTAGTAATAACAGAGACTCTCCTCTTATCCCTTCACAAAATTTCTCCGGAGGGAGAAGCAGAAGAACTTCTGAAGGTAAAGAAACAAGCTTTGTGATACGTTACTTATGAATAAGTTAATTCTTGTGGTTCTAGCAAGTCTACAAGATGTGCCAAGGAGCCTTGAGGTCTACTTATTATACACGCCTGAAATTGAATAATCAAGATAATTTATGAGCTAATACACTGAACCGCCTTTTGAAACTTATTTGCTCCAAAATACAAGTCACTTTCATTCCAGTGCACATACTTTGCTTTGACCATGATCTTTGAAAGAGGATTAAACTCCATAGCTTTGCGTGCTGAATGTTCCAGGTTCCAATCCTCAGTAAAAAGGTAACAGGACTGAAGAAAACATAGGCCTGAGGTTTCTGTTGATGGACAAACATAGGATATGGCAGCTTTGTGTATTTTTTAATATTACCCAACAAGGATCACAGCCTGGATGAGAGCCACAGGCATGACCTGGCTTGCTCTATTTTGTTTCTATTTTTGTGCATCCCTCTTGACAGCTTCATCCTGAGGCAAAAGGGGATTCTCCTACTTAACCTGGAAGCCTTTTGTGTCCTTCTGAGCCCCTCGGAAGTTTACGAGCCAGGCTATAATCAGTCTTAGATCTTTGGCTGTAATAAATCCCTTTGTCTTGGTGGTGCCACCAGGCTCTTGGTCTGTTCTCGTAAAAGCAATGAACGTTAAGCAAAACCACATTTGCGCCTGAAAGGATATTAACTATTTGGGAAATAGGAGCATGATTTGCAAGAGTAAATGCTACTCCTTCTACCTTCAACCCAGTGCTATCTCTTGGCTTTCAGTGCAGTCATCTCATTGGTTGACTTTTGTTGCCAGGTGAAGTTGAGTGGAAAGATGGGTCATCCTACTGATATCATTTTGATTGATCATAGCCTCCTTATCACTGCCACGAGCGAACCCGTTCTTAGGTAAGAAAATGGTTTGGCCTTTTGAGATGCTGCCTGGTTCACCTATAGCATTAAATTATATGTGATGCAGCATTAGATTGAAGAGCAAAGAGGTGCCTGTAACAAGCCCTGGGACCTTACGTGCCGCTGCTTTCTTAAACAACCTGGTAAAATGCAGCTAAATTGGCTTGTTCATCAAATCAAATCCAACCTTTATGACGGTCAAAGACCAGCATAAGGCTTGTTTAATAGTTAACCAGAATTTCTTTTAAACCATGGCTTCTGCCTGACATATAATAAATAAAAAGTCAGAAATCTGTTAATAAAACTGAATTGAATGCATTAATTGAATTCAATTTATACATCCTTGTGGTGATATAGAAGTGAGGTAGGGGAGGTATAAGGCTATGACTTCACATAGGATGCCCACAGTGCATAGCTGTATTATTTTTCAGATAAATATTATTACAACTTTGGTGGAAAAACAGGAAAAGAAACCAGTACCCAGATCTTACCTGCTTGGTGTCTGTAGCTTGATCATAAACCATTTGCTCCTTTCCAGAGAGCTAGCATGTAAATAGCTGCTATAGAAAAGTGTAACCTGGGAATTGATTGCTTAAATCTCCCCCGTGATCCAAACTTGCTGGATCTGGCTTTGGGAAAATTACTGTCCTATTGACTTCAAAGCCACAGATCTGTTGGGAGGACTGTTGAGAGAATAGACAGAACTTTATACAAGAAATGCCTGTTTAAATTAAAGGACTGTAATCGCTCCCATCCTGCATCACCTGTCAAGCAGTAGGCCAGCCTAGAGCTTCTGGATGGATACTGTTTAGCCATTAATATGACTATTTCTAGAGTAGCCTTAAGTGAGTTGAAGAGATTCTCATGGTTTCAGAGATTGGTACAAGAAAAGGAGATGGTAAATTGCTAAGGCAAGGGAGAAAAACAAATGTGGGCAGGATCAGACTTTGCAATAATGTCTGTTGACTTTCATGTTGAGCCATACCTCTTATCAACTGTCTTATACTGTCTCTGTAGGTTCTGGGACTTGGAGCGTGGTGAGAATTATGTCCTTTCTCTGGATGAACAGCTAGGGTTTGAAATCGGAGAATGTGTCCACTGTGTGTCCTATTGCAATGCCAAAGGTACAGAAGATCAGATTGCTTTGACCTTTAGCATCTTGATTACCCATCTTTTAAAATCCCACTGGTTTCACTATTCCACAGAGAGGAGTCCACTAACATTTATAAGGGGACAAATTAAAGACAAAATATACACAGCACAGACAGCATTTATACGTAGAGAGATATGCTGCTGAAGAATAATGTTTAAAGAAACAAATAAGCTAGTACCATATGAATTAGAAGAATGCATATTTCTTAATGCGTAGATTATATCTCTCCCTTTTACTCTGGGCTTAGATGACAAGGTTGAAATGAGATACCGCTTACTTTAAATTGATCCTTTGCCTTACATTGGTGTAAGTAGAATAATTATTCTTGTAAGCAACATTTATAAGGAACAATGGTTTCATTGTCGCCTAAAATTTGCTTCTCCCCTGTGCTTCACCTCCTTCTTTTATTCATACCAAAGTTTGATGGAATGCTGGATTTGGGCAGAAAGAGTGAGAACACTGCTGATGACAGTCTTGACCTGATCTAATATGGTACATTTGGCAGGTCTTCTAGCCGCTGGCACCAATAAAGGGCGAATAGCTATGTGGAGAAAAGTGCCACTCTCCAGCCAAACCACTGGGTCGCTGGAAGGCAAGGACAGATGGAAACTTCAGACACCTACAGAGCTTGAAGGGGATATCATTCAAATCGAGGTAAAGTCACGGATAGAGTTTTTCCTTCTCTTTGGCTTACTTGGATGCAACCCCAAGTGCCAAAGAAGGTGCATTCCCACATCAGGGATTCTCAGAGGAAGCATTTTGGCACATGTTTGCACGCTAGAGATAAGAAGGCCTTGGGAGAGATTGTGAGTAGACATGTATAAAATTGGTCTAGTGAGCAAGCAGGCTAATGTAGGCTACAGTATTGTGGAGACTGAACTTGCTTCTCTTACCTGTTTTTCCACAAGCCTCAGATCTTTGCTTATCTTCTGTCTCTGAATCTAGAAGTAGGCTCATCCTAGAAGGCTGCTTAATCATTTTCCATTCTTGCATTACATCTGACTTGTGGGCCCTTCATTGGCTTCCAAGTACAATAGTTTCTGGGTGCAATTTAAAGTGCTTGTTAACCCATAAAGTCCTTGACCTCTTGGCGTCTCCCCACTAGAGTCAGCCTGACCACTTCGGTCATGCTGGGAGAAGCAGCTGGTTGCCCCCCTTTTTGGAGGGACTGGATGGAGGAAGCCCAGATGCACTGGGGGTTTTTTTTTGTGATGGGGCCCACCTTCTGGAATGGCCTCCTGTCGGAGGTCATTTCTACCCAACATGATCCACCTTTCAGAAAAAAATGAAAATGGAACTTTTCCAGAGGGCTTTTGGGATATGATGACAGTGTTACATTCTTCTTTTAAATGTATTTTCTTAATTTTGGGTATTATGTTGTTATTGTGAGCTACCAAGAATCTGTTGTGATTGTGGGGGGATATTAATCTGATTCAATAAAGAAATAAAATAAGTTCTTGTAAATCATGTAGACGACGTAAAAGAAATTAGAGACTCATTGAAAATGTGAAGGAATAGATCATGCCTTGTTGGAAACTCTGTTTATTAGGATGTAGTGTTAATCTTTGGCAGATGAAAGGTAGAATCACGTTTGCTATTTAAATTCAGCATACACTTAAACTAGCAGACATAACAACTGTTGTTCTTTCCTTGCTCTCTTGATCAATTCTGGTGGGCAAATCATAAGAAATGATGTAGGCTGTGCAATCTTCTTACATAAATACCCATAATAGGATGTATATGATTCTGGCAGCTTGGGTGTGCTGTTTCTGGACAGATTTTTGGCCCTGCCAGCTGTAGCTTCTAGATGTCCTGCAGGTTTTTGTTTCAACCTGTTTGGTACCTTGATTTCACATTTCTGATGCCTCCTGGACTTTTTGTAAAAGCAAACATCTGTAGATTTTCCAGTCCTTTCCATCTGTCTTTGTAAGTTATTTAACAAACCCTTGACAGATTTTGCATCTGACAAGAATTGATGACCTAACCAATTAAGTTTTTCATCAAAACCAGTTAGATTAATTGGCCAGAAAAAGAGCCACCCATTCACACTACACCATTAAAAAAATATAATTGCTTAATTCCCCAAACTTTATCCTCCCTTTGAGGGGCAGTACATTTAGCAAGCCCGTTCAAGATCAAAGTCAGTAACTCAAGCAGAGACATGAGAACTGATACAGTGGGAACTCTAAGTCATGGATGTTTGTCTTCTTTTTGTGTGTTTTTTTAAGACTCCATGCCTCTGTACAAAATGCATTTTCTCACTAAAGCTGGTTGGTTAATCCTAATGTATTTTTTTCATAATATTTTTAGTGGAGTTCCAAGAAGAATCTGTTGGCTGTAAACATAACCAACTCTGTAGCAATCCTTAGAGAACAAGCCATGTCTTCACACTTCCACAAACAAATGGCAGTGGTACAAGTTTCCCCAAACTTGTTCAACATCACCTGCTTCAGCAGCAGAATGATGGATAACCTCCGTATTGATATGCATGTGAATGGAGTGTGTGCTACCAAGGTATTTTCATCAGATAGATGTACTGTACCTACTATCTTGGTTTTGGGGTGGGGATGAGGTATAGAAAACATTTTCAGGTGGATCCAGTCTTAAGACGCTACTTGTGAGTTTCACTGTGTAATCTGATGAACTAAATTCTTGTTGATTTCAGTGAGTTCACTCTTCATGTGCCTCAATGTGGATCCCAAAAGATGTCTATGCTGTCTCTCCTATCTCTGCTAAAGGACACTCAGGGAAGCTTAATAGAATTTGACAATGTTATCAACCCTCATAAAAGAAAGTAGTAAACAAAATTGGTGTTGTTTGTATAATAATGAAAGTAACAGCACCCAGAAAAGCAATTAGCCCGTGTGCCAAGCCAGGTAAAGCAAAAACAAAAACTATAATAATTGAAAGTAATAGACTTAATTTTCTGAAACCTGAATAAACAGCGTATATCTTGCTAATACCCAAGAGATGAAGATGAAGTTCAGACAAAGTTCTACAATTTTAGTTGGGGTACAGCCAGAATTGAAGCATCCACTCCAGGAGCTGTTGTATCCATGATAAATTGGCAAATTCACATGGAAGCAAACACTTCAGAAAGCAAAGCTGCATACCATATAGAAACCATAATGTATTGGTTGACCCTAAAGAAGTGGTATATAATTTTAAAGTCTGGATTAGTTTCGAACACGGATTTTTAGCTACTTTTTTGATCCCACATTTTAGGAAGCTGTAGCGTTCTGGAATGGAAAGCAAGTTTCTATCTTTGAACTCTCAGCTGCCACTTTACGGAATTCAGGTAAGATGGATAGGTTTGAACGGAGTATCTTATGCATATTAAAAAAGAATATAGAATGTCAGTAATTTGTTTTTTTACAGAGAGACAAGAGAAGAGAAAAATAGGACTGTTTCTGTACTAAAAGAAAAGGATGGCTTATATTTTGGGAATTCCTAATATTTTAGTTTCCTATAGACAGCATTCAGGGATCATATAACTTATAGCCTGTTGGGTGAAGCTCTTAGTTGTACATATCAAATAGATTAGGGCTGTTGTAAGAATGTTTCTTTGAATGGTTCCAGGTTCTTTCCTCTGTGAATCCCCTGTGCTGGCTATGCATGAAGAGAACCTTTACACAGTTGAGCCAAATCGAGTTCAAGTTCGTACCTGGCAAGTAAGCAAGCTGGCATTAAATGACAGTGGTTACAGCCACCTGCTTGAGGAAACAGTTTTGGATTTATGACACTGTACTTGTGGTTTGAAGAAGACTTTTCTGTCCATATTGTCTGGCCAATTAATAATACTGTCTAAAACATTCTGGGTCTTTCCTGTCACTGTGGGTATAAAACAGTGTTTCTCAACCTTGGCAACTTGAAGAGGTGTGGCCTTCAACTCCTAGAATTCCCCAGCCAGCACATCTTCAAGCTGCCAAGGTTGAGAAACTGTAGTATAGAATAATATAATCAGATGGTAGCAGCAGAATTTGTATAGATAGTCCCATTAATGTGAAGCCCCAACAGATTTCAGGGGGGAAAAAAATCAAGGTCACCTCACTCCCTCACATACAGACTGATCCACTTCACTCCCCCAGTTGGGAAAAAGAAATCTTGTGTTGATCATTGAATTAATTTGTCACATTTCAGTTTCAGATTGACAGAACCTGTAATAGCAGGAAATTTTCCTTATTACTTTTTTAAAAAAACCTCTTTATGCTTGGTTGTGGCAGGCCAATTAAATTGCAGAATATATTATAGCAGTTTTTTTCCTAGTTCCTGGTGATCATCAGGTACAATTGCAAAGACTGTGGTCTTTGTCAGAATAGGATGACCAAAGCAAAAGACTAGTTTGAACCCTGCAGCTTTTCTTCTCTCCCAGGGTACCGTTAAGCAGTTGCTGTCATTCTCTGAATCTGAAGGCAATCCCTGCTTTCTGGATGTCTGTGGGAATTACTTGACGGTGGGGACGGACTTGTCTCACTTTAAAATCTTTGATCTTTCCCGCAGGTATGGAGTTTAGTTATGAACTTTTCCATTTTTTTTTTTTTAATTTGAGGTTGTTATTGAAACATGTTAGTAAAGATTTTAACACAAAGCAGCCCCCAGTCCTTATGCTTCCTGTATGGCTCTGTCTCCGCCCACCCCATTATCCAAACATAATAAATAAAATGTAAGAGAAGGAAAAGTGAAGGAAAGGAAGAAAGAAGGGAAAAAATAGACATGGAGCAGGAGAGTGAACTGAACTGCAAGGCATAGTCAGACATTAAAAGGTAGAATGAGAAATCGAGATTTTTTTTTTCCAGAATTCTGTTGAAGGTATTGCTGGCATGACAATAAATGGATGCTTTGTCTGTAAGATCCTATTTTGATTACCCTCGTTGGTGGGATTCTGTTTTTATTTTTATAAAAGGAGCCTTAGGGATGAATTAGTACTTGTTAATTCAGATTCCTCTATGTTCATCCATACACTTGCTCTTAAACGCTCATTACTGTAAATTCAGTCCTTGAAAAATTAGATGCAGTAAGAATGAAGCATTTGCTTCTGTTTACCACAATATGCTTCCTCACTTGAAGCAGAAAATTATGACTTGGTGGGTCATTTTTCCAAATTCATAGGATCAAATTGTCTCTGCCATGCCTAGAGGAGATCCAGTTAAATCAATAGAAATTGATTTTTTACTACCTTGCTCCTATTGGTGTATGCGGGTCTGCTCTGTGTATGGCTAAATATGGATCCAACTCATTGTTAGAAAGATGAATACTACTACTACTAATACTAATACCAAAAGTATGAATGCTGAATGAGTTCTAACTCATGAGTCATTATAATCGCTAAAAGAACAAAGACATAAGACAAAAGGAATGAGGTTCCATAAAGATATGAGGTTGTACGTAAAGTAATGAAAGAGATGGAAAAGCTCTCTCTTAGTTTTGAAACTAACATTCCTCATTCACTTCTGCTTTCTTTTGAAAAATGAAGGCTATGTAATGAACAAAACCCACCTTTTGTGAGAAGCTGAGCAGGGCTGAGATGTAATAGCTCCGATTTCCAAGAGGTCTTAGACGTGGATGTTTTCACAGATAATTCAGTTTGCAATGGACTGTGGTACAAATATACTCCCTTATTTTGAGGCACAATTCATTCATCATTGCGGATGCTGTTGTATCGCTGCAACCCCTATGAAGTAATCGAAACTTCAGAGGCTTGTCAAACTCCAACCCAGAAACTTGAAAATTGTGTTACAAGCTGTATAATGGGTTTTGCAACTTCACTTTTATAAGTTTGTTACAGAAGTTGAAAAGGATACCTTTGTTAGCAAAGAGCCAGCACCACATGGGTAGGAAAGAGATTGCAGTCCCATCTGGCGTGATGTCGCGTGGATTACGCCTTTATGCCTTCCTGCCTCACTGAAGGCTCTTAATACCCATGTACTTAATCATCTTGCATTATCAGTTTTGTAGGAAAACAAAACAAATGAGAGTTCATGTGACAATTGCACACTGTCCCTGAGACCTCATGTAGCCTCATTGGGGACTGTGAACCCTCATTTAAGTAGCTGACACATGTCTTGCTTGTTTATTCACAGTAAAATAGGCAGAAGGATACTTGTTATTCATGTGGATATATCCTCGTACTCCTCTTATACCAGAGTGGTTTAAGCAAGAAACGAATGTGTAAAGTGACCTGAACTGAACCCAGAATGACTCATCTGGTTTACTTGAGTCAACTGGTTTAGAAAGAATAGCATTTAAAGATAGAGATCTTGGGCAAATTTAAGCTAGTAGGGCAATTTTATTTGAGGGACCGCCTCTTCCTGATTACATCTGCCCATCCCATCAGATCCGGCAGAAGAGGTATGTTGCGGGTCCCGTCTGCTAAGGAGCTGGCGGGACCCAGGAGGTGGTCCTTTTTTGCCGTGGCATCCACCTTATGGAACATCATCCCCCTTCCCCCCAAGATGAGGCTGGCTCCATCCTTGTTAACTTCCTGTAAGTCCCTCAAAACGTGGGTATGGGGGTCCCAAGGGAATGGTGAGTTGCTGAGGTGGCTCCATTGTTGTTAATATCTGATGCTCTCTCCTTGTCTTTTAATCATAATATTAATATTTTTGTAATTGTCAACTGTTTTCTTATATTACTGTTTTATAGTTTTGTTTTGTGTTTTATCGTACGCCACCCGGAGTCATGTTTCGTGAGCTGAGTGGCCGTATAAATACGATGAACGAACGAACGAATGAATGAAAATTTTAAAAATGCATCAGATTTTTGACACGTACCTTGTCCAGAGTTTGAGCCCTTTCTGATCAGGCCATTTTACGACCCTCATCTTCCCACAGAGAGGCGAAGGTACATTGCAGTAGCAAGGCCCTGGCCGATCTGATTCCAGGCGCTCTTGGGATTGCATCTGTGAAGTGCAATGCAAGTGGCAACAAAGTTAGCATTCTTCTCAGCAAGGTGAGTCTGAACAACCCCTCCTTTAACATCAAGGCCCAAAGGGAACATCAAGCCACGGGGCCAAGGTTATGTTTAAGTGAGGCGTTGGTATTACATGGCCAGGTCCTGGGCTTGCACACTCTGTTTTTTTCATTCCATCTGTGTTGGAGGAGCTGGCAGGGCAGATATAGCCCAGTGTATTGTTAAAGTAGGTTTGATTTTCCTCATTAAAAAAAATCTAACCAGATTTTTAAATATTTTGGAGAACATAATTAAAAACATTTGGGGGGCCTCTTTTTTTAAGAAGTTCACGAGTCGCTGTAATCCAAGAAACTACTGGCCCCACTTTGATAACATTGTGGAAAGAATCTGGGACCTTACGAATTCTCTCTTTCTCTTTAGCACTTTCCAGTTTTCTCTGCTATCCTTATTGCATGAGATAATTATATCTTTTTTTAATTGTTTTAGGCTGATGGCAGTCTTGACCCTAGGATTTGTTTCTACGACATTGAAACGGACGTGGTCACCCTGTTTGATTTTGAATCAGGTCGCCAAAAAGAGGCTAAGGAGGTGCTCTCCTTTGGACAGGAGGCTGAAGGGTGAGTTTTTTTCCTTTTTGAGTCAGGTATTGTGGAATATAGATGAATTGTTTTTTGTTTTTTTTTTAGTAATGGCTTGTTCTTTTCAAATCTTTACTCTCAAGCACCTGTATATTTCTGATTGATTGGGGCTGGATTTGAACATCACACCAGGCCAAGGAGGTGTTTGTTTGCAGCTTCATACAATGCATACATTCAGCATATTTGTTTATACTGCAGAATGTAACATGGTGCCAGTTTCTACACCTGCAGGTTCCTGGTTGTTATTACTGTTCAGTATGTGAATACTGTTATTAAATGGGAGGCTGAATTGCCACAAAGTGAAGAACTGGCTTCTAGTGCCAACTTTTTTCTTCCCAGAACATTGCTGTGTCCCAGATTGACTCCAGAGCCACTCTTAGGAAAAGATAATGGTGTATGGCTGCATTCTGGCCCTGTGTTTTGAAGTATGTTTAGTGGGGCTGCTCAGTGTTTCAGATTCAGTCCTGAAAGGTGCATCATAACATATGCAGATGTCAGTAACTCATTAAAGGAGCCATTGCAGGGCTGTCCAGATATTTAACTTAGTACTCAGGGACTTGCTTATAGCAAAAGAAATAACCTGGCTAAATAAGTAACTTTATTGCAGACAAGACAGAAATCATGCACGCATACATTTGGCACCTGCATAAATCTCTTTCTCTCCCTGCCTCTTCGAGGGCTTATATCCTAGGCCTTTTCTGTCCACCTTTTCAAGTCAATGATACATTCATCACTCTGTCCCCAGCCTTGAGATTAGGGGCCATTTGCTCATTGTTTACATAAAGGTTCTGTCTGGCCCAAGAACCACTGATTTCTATCTCATCAGCTTCAGGTCATTACACCTCATATGGTTGGTTAATATCATTATTGGCCTCATCTTTAATGGCACTAAGGTGTCCAGAGACATTTTTGTTGGCTTGGGCAAAAAGCAAGAGAGCTTTCTTCTGCTTTCCTTGTAGAGAGTGTATCAAAACTGCCAGTTGAATTTTCTTTCCAGTGATGGGATTGTGTTCTCTACCTGTGGCCCTGGGTGATTTAGAAAGTCCAAATCTAACAGTTTTGATCTTCAACAGAAAGGACCAGCCGAGGAAGGATAGTTGGGAGGTTACCACCAGAATCATCCAGCCTTTACCATCTAATAATACACTTGTCCCATTCTAAAAGTAGGAACTGCCCTAGGAAGACCTATATTTTCACACAGACAGTAGCTTATATTAAAAGTAGCTTTTGTCTCTCAGTTGGTAGATATGCAGCTGCAATGAAGCATGGTTGTGTGAATCAGTCTGTTGCTCATTATTGTAGATGGCTTTCACTTTACCCCATATTTGCATTAATTTTAGAGAAATTCACACACAAATTAAACTTACTCTGTAACCATTCTTACTTTTCTCTTCCCTGCTTATTGATTTAGTGAGTGGCTGTGACTTTAAAATGGCTTTGCAGACTATTCTGGGCACCAATTAAAAAAAATACGTAATTTCTAAATGCAAAAAAAGATCCAGCAGGGGTCACTGTGAAATAGAAAGGTTTATCATAATGCATTCAAAGAAAGCATTGACATCTTGGAATAGTTTTTATAGAATGTATGCATAGTAGAATACTTTCCAGCTGTGTTGTGTGTGCCAAACACAAACCCACTGGAATCTTTATGTGACATTTGTTTTTGTTTTTTTTTGTCATTAATCTAAAAAGGTGTCTCCTTTTATTGGCCTGTTCTTTTGGGGGAAGGGTTCTCTCTTTTTCTCTTCCAATGGAAGATAAATTGTTGGAATGGTTCTCTTGTTTAATTTTATGTTATTGTCTTTCTAACATTGGCTCAACTGACCCATTTTGATCTTAGCAAGTGACCCTTAGATTGCACACAGTGGGGCAAGGCAGCAGGACACAAGCTGGTAGTTGCAGCACCATGGAAAGCTCCAAGTGAGCAACTTACAGTACTCTCTCTGGTTGAAAATGGACAGAACCCTTTTATGCCTCCAGGACTAGATGTCTTCTCTCAGACTCCTCCCCTTCATTAAAGGGGCAGGCCTCATTTTGAAGCCTAGTCCAGGGCATGTTGATTGATTACAGGTCATGTTATAATGGTATTTGGATCAGAGATCAATTTGGGGATCCTTGTCTCAGGAATCTATGATCCAGTGGACTCTTGATTCAAGTTAAGTCATGATTCAGTCTCTCAATTTATGATCTGCCTCTGATCTGACAACCCTATGGTGCTTCTATGCCTAAATGAAAGAGTTCAGGCTACTTCTTGGAATAAGATTCTTGATTTGTGCCATGCTAGTCCATTTTGAATCTCTTTAATCTGAAAGAGGCTTGATAGTCCATGATTTATTTGCCTAGGAATATATTTCATTTATCTGAGTGGTCACTTCTGAATAGACATGAATAGTTGTGCTTTTAATTAAGATGGAAACTTGATGTATTTATTTATTCAATTCATATGGTCATCTACTCTGTGTACATGAGCACAGGTTCATGAACAGCATGAGCAGTCTAGAGAAAGGTTTTTTAATCTTAGAATTTCAAATCTCATCTCTGAGTGTTTTGATCCTTGACTGAAATTGGGTGTGAACCACAGATCTGTGATCAGACTTATTTTTTGCTTTTTAAACTACCAGTGAGTACATGTAGCTGGATTTTTATCTCTCCCTCCAACTTAAATCATTCTTTCAGATAAGGAAAACAAAATAGAGGAAAGTATCTCTATTTTGAATAAAGAAATGTGGTTGGATTCATATATGAGTTAATGTTTCTCTTATTTCAGAGCCACAGAGATTGGTAGGCTTAGATATAAGAATAATTTTTTGGTCGGAGGTAAGTTGTGGTAGAAACAAGATGCTATTTATTAGGCAGAAACAAGGAAGAGGAAGGTCTTGCCAATACTTCTTGCCAATTGTGTTTTCTTCCACATTTGGTGAAGATTTCAATTTACTGCAATTGATTTTTGCTACTAGTTGCTGTTAGCAACAGAGTTGAAATGTGATAAGGTGGTCTCCCTTGATGTACCATTGCTGGAGTTCAATTCAACTTTAGCTAGTTGAAGAGGCAAATCAAGTTTAGTTGCAAATCTAGGAGGGATACTGCTCTTTTGCTGATTTTGTTATCCTCTATTTTAGGTGGTACTTATATGTTTTGCTTATTGATTAGATTTATACATCTTGATTGTGTTGTCTGCATAGGAAAAATATCTCTGTATATCCAGAACTGTGTGATCGCATCCCTACTAGTCACTTCTGGGATCAAAATGAACCAAGGCTGTTCATATGTGAAACAGTTCTTGACCCTAATCAGCAGTCATTGGACAAGAAGCAAGAGTCATTGGAAAATTTGGTATGTTTTTCTTTTATCTTCCTTTGAGGTTTTGACTGTTAGGCTAGTATATTGACACTGTACTCAGCTGTTCAGTGAGAGCCTTCAATTGGTTGTAGTAGGATCCTAATGATATTCAAGATCATTCTGGTCATTCTCTGTAAAAAAAAAGCTGAAGGCCACAAAATCTTGTAACAGCAATCAGTTAAAATTAGCTTTTTGGGAGCTTAACATGAGGTAGAATTTAGTTAGGAACTTTTTTAGTCAGCATTCGTATCTCACATATTACATATTAGCCTGAATTCCTCCTATTATTCAGGAATGCATTTTCAGGGTCTGCAAGAGTGGTAGTTCCTATGTGCTTGGATGGAATGTATTCCCTCATCTTTAGGTGAAGGTAGCTGCCTGTAAATCCTTCCTCGAGATGAAAGCTAAAAACGTTCTGGCTTTATTTTTGAATCAAGGACTTTAGGTTCCATGTTTTAAGAGAACAAGACAGTTAACATTAGATGTTCCTAAAGTAAAACAGCAGTATTTGTAGAATAGTATAACTCATATAAAGTACCCATCTGGTGTGTAGAGAGTCCTAAGTTCAGGCTTGGACTATCTTAGACAGAACTGGGAAAGATTCCAGCTTTGAAACATAGTCTGACCAAATAAGGAATATGGAGCTTGAAGGAATATTACCTGATTTAGCAAAAGGCAAATTTTTATGTTCCCACAGACTATTTTAGATTTTGATTATTTTAGCTGGTAACACCTCTCCAGTGAAGTCCATAATTGGTACCCAATTTGATCTCCGTGGGAAGCAATGTGTTATTATGATGTAGTTTCTGAATCTGTTTGCAAGGAGGCATCTGGTAGTGTACTGGACATATTATCTAGAATATATTGTATGCTTCTATTCTTGTCCCACCCCTTGAAATAAAATGAAATCTGGTTTTGGAACATCTAGTAGATTTAGTTACATTCCTCAATGCATAAGCATAGTAGTTTTTATATATATATAAAAACTATATATATATATATATATACACATTGTTGTTATATATATATATACATTGTTGTATATATTTTATATATATAAAATAAAAAAAATTGGAGGGAAATTATTTCTTATGGGATTTTCCTGGATTTTTTAAAATAGATATGAGGGTATATGGTAATATAAAATTATATTGCCCCAAATAATGGAGAAAAATTGCTGAAGCATCTAGATGATCATTAATTTTTCCAAGGTGTTCTCTGTTGAATTAGAATCCATATGATTCCTGAATGACAAAGCTGCATGTTTCTGTGTTGTTGGAACATAGGCCATTGCACATTATGGGGCATAGAAGGAGAGGAAGCCTGTAGCTCAGCCATCTGTAGCAGGTGTGCATTCTGTTTCTTAACTGAACACTCTGCCAAGTGAAAATGGAAAATAAAAATAAACCTATGAAAAGATATTGCACCACGAAGCCCAAATCATGCTCCATTTCCCCTTCCAGATGAATGTGTTGATAGTATCTTTCTTCAGCACCGAAGAGCATGGGCTTCTGCTCCAAGACAGTTTTCCATTGCCATCAACTTACCAGTCTCTTCTGGGCATGGAGGTACCACACTATTACTTTGCCAAAAAGGTGAGTTGTCAGAGTTTTCTTTCTCCCATGTAGGAAATTTTGTCATTGTTGTTGTTGTAGGAAGAAAAGCTGAAGCTGAGTTATCATCATCCTCCCTTCAGGTGCTTTAGGCACACAATGAAAACAGCAAGAAAAAAAGTTACCATTGCTGTTTGCAGGTATATTAATACTAAAGAGCAACATGAGTGGGATGGGAAGGAAAACAAATCAATTCAGGCCCAAATGCTCCATAAGTTATATTATAAATGTGCACAATTTAAAGATAAAGGCAAGTGACACATTTTCTAAAAGGATGATGCTGTAAAAATTCATTTCCCAGGCCATAATTTAGGGATGAGCAGCCCTTTCTTCTGCTGGGGTTGCATTCTTTCAGGGATAATTTGTTGGGGACCCTGTGGCAGCTTGGGCTAATGCAAGCAGGAGTGGGGCTATAGCCAGAAGTAGGTGGGGTCCTTGTTTCTGTCTCTATTATCTGGTTTCCTCTATTTCTCACACTCTTCCTTTTTATTCCAAGCACCAGATTACCGAAAAAGGACAGATCACTCTTACCAGTGATCTAAACTGGCTTTCTTGCAATGAGATCTTAAAATTAGGCTGGGTGCCTCATGAAAATTAGGCTAAGGCCTGAAGGTGGCTTACCCTGTTTTTAACATTATCATGGCTGGGGCTTTCCAGGTGCTGCTGTTTGGGAGTTTCATGGTGACTCTCAAGGAGAATCCCCACCTCCCTATAAAGTGTGCTTCCAAAACTTAAGCTGAGTTGCAAAAGATTTTTGCTCATCTTCGTAGCTGAATTATCTGCAGGTTCTACTTTATTCCAGGGACAAAGGAACTGTTGAAAGTTCTGGTTGGAATTAAAATGCAAATCTTCCTGTCCTAAGAATTGATAGAGAGAAAGAGATGCAAAGCAGAGGGCTTTCTGTCCAGCAACAGTAGAGGCAGTCAGATTCAACTATCTTGTTGACTGCATTTATCCACTAATCCAGGATTATTCAGTGGACTGATATTTTGAAAGCAGTAAAAATTCTCAGCAAGACCACTTATCTTTGTTCCAATCTAGCACTTCAGCAATACATTAGGAAATCTTTAAAAAGCTTCATAAGAAAATAATGGCAGTATGGCCATCGAATGGATCCCCTGTCACGATTATTCTTGAATGGTGTGCATAACATCATTCATTGACATGCAGTTGATGTTCATCTGCCTTATAGATGAGAAAGAATATCTGAGTTGGTATTTTGGATTAGCTTCCCAAGAATAAAGTTAACCAGGTTTCCGAATGGATATATGTGAAGGCATGTTCCTTGTGTATAAATGAATGAAAAGGAAGTTTAAACCACAAAAGAATGATTGATATAGTTCTGGCTTGATACTGTTGTAAAACCAGGGGTTGGCTTGTGAATTTCCCTCTATGTTTTGTCGCTGTTACTTGTTTTTTAATATACATTTTCCAAAGTATATTTTTTGCTGTTTCTATCATTTTGTTTCTTTTTTGAATTTCTGCTAACCAGTAGTTGTTGTTTTGGAGAGGATCTGTTTATTATAAACTTTATGTAAGTCATTTTTAATGTGACTTTCTCTTTATTCATTCATTTTATTTGTTTGGAGTCTGCTATATATTATTTATTTACCAGCTCAAAAAAACTAACAATTCTAAGCTCCTTAGAACCAAATCCTCATGAAGAGATGTACAAAGAATAGTGGCGAAAGCCAGGTTTTTTCACTTTGCTGCCCATGGCTATCCATTGCTATTTTCTAAAAAATAAAACTTGTGTAATAGTCTGGGCAAAATATTCTCCTAAATCTTTATTTCATTTTTGAGGAGACTCTAGTGGCAATGCAGGATTTTGGAGAAATGCCTTCCAATTTAGCAAATCTTGAAAATGAAGAGAAGGGCTGATTCCAGTTCTCATGTGGGTAGCCTGTGAAAATGCTTCTGTGTTGCTGTTGTGTATTAGGTCCTTTTCCTAAGAATGACACTGACTGTCTTCTCCTTAGTGTCCATCACTGTCAAGAATTTGAGATGTTCACATGGAAGGTATCAGAGCAATACATCATAGCTAGTAACAAATATCAGCAAGAGACAGTTTGGTGTAGTGGTTAAGGCAGCAGGCTAGAAACTGGGAGACCAGGAGGTCTAGTCTTGCCTTAGGCATGAAGCCAGCTGGGTGACCTTGGGCCAGTCTCTTTCTCTCAGCCCTGGGAAGGAGGCAATGGCAAACCACTTCTGAAATCTTATCAAGAAAACTACAGGGATATGTCCAGGCAGTCACCAGGAGTCAGCACTGACTCAAAGACACACATGTACACAAAAATCAGCATTATGTTACATGAGAATGGAATGATGCTGTTGATATTTAATTTGATTCCTCTAGTCTTAATGGTGAATATAATTAGGTTAAGCATAGCCTCACATGTTATCTTATCACACTGTTCTTCTGAGTACCATTAGCTCATCCTTGTCACATAATGAAAGACTAGTATAGATGACTTAATAGTTTATTCAATTCACTGGAGCCTGTTCTTCCCTCCAAGTATCTTGCTGTCTCAGGCCATTATTCCAGGCAAAGCCCACCCAGCCCCACCCTTCTACTTACGCAGTTAGAACTGCATGTGTCTTAAAGTCATAATGCATTTATTCAAAATGTTCAATAGTTAGACATTAAGATAACAAGTTGCTATTTTATTGAAAGGAAGATGACTCCTGCCCTGAAACGTTAGATAGGAAAAAGTTGGTTTAGGTTACTATATGCTCAGTGAACTAAAGATAATTCTCCCATTTGAAAAGTAAATTATTTGGAAGGAAAAACTTAGTCTTCCTTTCTGGTAACTACAGTATTTTGTGGGGGATGGAGTTATATTGTGAAAATGGTTTGAATATTAAGTTGGTGCTCCTTTTGAAATATCAGTGCTGAGTGATAAATATTATTTATTCATACAGGACAGGTTGTTGCTGTCATGTATAACCAACTTCTTTCTCTCTCTCTCTCTCTCTCTCTCTCTCACACACACACACACACACCCCACAAACAGCCCCACACCCCCACACACAAACATAAATATTTTGCTTTCCATGTGAACTAGTATTTTCTTTTCAGCCAGAAGCTGAGAGAAAAGATGAGGTGGAACCTGGCATAGTCCCACAGTATCAGATGGTAGCTAGAAGACCAATGAGAGATTTCATTGGGCTGGAAGAATGTGACAAGATGACGTGCGAAGCTATGCTCAACTTCAGTTTCTATCTAACCATTGGAGATATGGATGAGGCCTTCAAATCTATCAAACTCATCAAAAGGTATGATGGTTGTGGGCTTTATCTTTTTTTATTTATCTTTTTCTCTAGTTTGGTGCACTGATTACTGGAGAAAAGCAGTGATTTGACTGTAGACGTGGTGGTGTTATTGGCGTTGCTATGAATGCCGCACTTACAGTGGTACCTCTACTTACGAACTTAATCCGTTCCATGACTCTGATCGCAAGTCGAGT